GCCTGAACATCTGAGATGCTCTGAGTTAAATCCAAAGTGAATGGATTGAAGTCAAGGTAGGAAATTCTTACAGCCAAGTTTAGCTCAGCAGTGATAAGGCAGCTCGCCAGAAGCCTTAACATGTTTCTGTTTTTTAAAAAACTGAAATGGCCTATGGCTACTCTTTACCACTATACAACTAGAAGCAAATATACAAAGAAACAGAAATGTCCATACTACTCCTTTCACATTAAGTTTTTAGTCTTTCGGAGGTAATTTCCCCCTAAATTTGTAGATTGACCTGTCTTTAATAGCAGAACCGGTGACTGAACCATTTGTTAGTCAAGGATTGCTTCTTTCTAGCCCTTCGATGTACTGTTTCTTTGTCCTTCTACCTATCTTGAGGCTACAAGATCCCTCATTTGGCCGCAGCTTTTCTTCTTTGTGCCTGCCAAGGGCAATTTCATGAAGTACAGGCGGCCAGGACTCCTCTTGCTGAAGCATCCACTCACTGCTGTTGACGCACTGGCGTTATTTTTGGCACAAGCGCTTTTGGCTTTCTCTGGCACGGCCTAGCCATGATGACATACTCCGCTCTCTTATCCATGCTTCCTTTTTAGGACCGATGGGCTTTCTACCGTGTCCCAGGCAATACGGCAATGCTGCCTAAGAGAACTCGAAAGAGCAAGAAAAATTATCCCCTATAATCCTGTAATTGAGTTTTCCATTGTTAATGACGCATCCTTACCCACGTGCACGGCCTTCCTTCTGGAGATGCTGGCAACTGAAAGAAGTGAGCAGTCTTAAGGGCCATGGTTTAGTGGTGGGATGGCAGGGTTAGGTTAAAGGTTGGGCTCGATGATCTTAAAGGGCTTTTCCACCCAAAGTGATTCTATGATGACCACCGTCCCCGGCCTCCCCAAATTTAAAATAATTAGAAAAAAAGCTGCCAGAGCATTGCCTTAAGGAGCGTCACTGTCAGCACAGAGTCGGGCAGCCTCTGGTACGGCCGCACCCCCTCAGGGTCCCCAAAAACC